GTGCCCCTCTTTGCCATTTTGGGAGCCGGCAGAGGACTTGATGAAGGGTGAAGGGGAGGCAATTTGGGAAGCCACTGGCCTGGCCTCCTTCATTCTCCAGGTTCCAGAGGTAGGTGTGCAGGAGGGCTCAGCCAGCGGTGGGAAGGGTGGGCAGCCTGGCGCTCTCCCAGGCCTCTGAACAGTTTTCTGGGCTTCCAGTGTAGGTCTCAGATTTGTTTTTTTTTTTGGTACCAGGAATTGAACTCAGGACCTTGCACTTGCCAGGCAGGCACTTACGACACTGAGCTATATCCCCAGCACCCAAGTCTCAGATTTGAAGCCACTACCGCTCACAGAGGTGAAAGGCTTGGGCCACAGGGGTGCATTCCAATACAAGTGGATGCCCCAGACCTGGCATGCTGTTTTGTTTTTTTTTGTTAACTGGATGTGGTGGTACAGCCCTGTAATCCAAGCACTCTGGGAGGCTGAGGCAGAAGGACTGCAAGTTAAGTCTACCCTGGGGAACACAGTGACTTAGCAAGACCATGTCTCAAAAAGGTGGTGGTGGGGCTATACCTCAGGTGTTAGATTCAATCCCCAGTACTGGTGGAAAAGGTGTTTTATTACTTTTGCAGCCCAAGTGCCACAGCCTGTGTGCCTGCGTCTGTGTTCCAGTCGCTCGCTGCTCTGGGCTGGGGGCCCCTCACAGAAGTTTCTCCAGCACAGCTCCTGCCCATGAGGGTAGACAGAGGCAGCCGTTGAAGGGTTACGGAAAAGGCATCAGACAGGCCTAATAACAATAGCAACAGCTCACTAAGCACTTTACAAAATACTTCCCCACACGTTACTTTATCTGTATCGGACCACTACTCTGAGGTCACAGCATCAGCTTTCCCAGGTGAGGGGACAGGCCTCATTAAGGGGCTCTCCAGGGACAGCAGCAGGACAGGGACAGAACCAGGATTCAACCTAGGGACCCTAACTACAACCAGTGCATCCCACTGCCTCCTTCACTAGTGTCCAACACGGCATCTTCCATGTGTCTGTCCACCTGTCTCCCCCTCATCTCCCTAGGAAGCAGTGGGATCCAATTCTAGTCTCTAGTTCCAAAACTTATACTTCAGTACACGCTACTGAATGAAAGAATAAACATTTGGAGCCCCCAGCACTGGGAAGCCCCCAGCTTCCCACTGAGCTCCATCCTCAGCCCTTTTAAATATCTTGTTTTGACAGAGGGTCTCACTAAGTTGTGCAAGGTGGGCACAAACTTCTGATCTTCCTGCTTCAGTCTCCCTGCTGGGACTATAGGTATGCACCACCATACCCAGCTCTCTGTGTCTTTTTATATTTGCTATGTCCTCTGTACAGTGTTTTCTTTTTTTGCGGGGGATGGGGTCCCTCTATGCTACCCAGGCTGACGGTAAGCTCCTGGGCTCAAGTGATCTTTCTGTCTCAGCTTGTTGAATGCTGGGACTATGGGCACATGGGCCACCACACCTAGCTCTGCCCTTTTAACATTTTACAAAGGTTTTTTGGAAAATGACAGCAAGAGTTGCTGCAGGACTGGCTGCCAGTTATCTTGATGTGAACAAAGATGTCAGACAGGCAGGAATTGGCCCCTTGAATGCACCAGGACCTGAAGCCACCCTTGAGGCCAAGTGGGGGGGGCTGGTCTTCAGAGAGTGGGGCTCCTACCTAGGACTGCTTAGGTGGGATGGGGTTCCATTAAGCCTTGCTGAGCTTCCAGACCTCAGACCCAGAGAGGCAGAGGTCCAAGAGGCTGGATGCAGTGGCTGGGCCAGTCAAAGAAGAGCTGGAAGGCTGGGAGAGGGAGGAGGCTAGGGCAGAAAGGAGAGAGGCAGGAACCTGCCCGCCTGGGCAGTCCAGCCCAGGGCTGGATGATTTAAGTACAACCAGATGTTCTGGGAATCTCCTGTCAAGCCCAGCCCCGGTGAGGGCAGAGTGGGGGTGGGGAGCCTCCTGGGCTACTTGGATTTCCAGCTCCCCATTCTGCCCTGGGTCTGTCAGCCTTAGGGAAGGGAGCACCCCAATGGGGTTCCAGAGGGCCTGAAGAGTAAGAGGGTGGTTCAGACAGGATGGCATGGAGTCTTCTGCCTTTGGACAAGGTGGGATGGGCTCTAGGAAGCGGGGTTCTGGGATCAACCCCTGAAACCTAGGGAGTTTAAAAAAGAAAGGATTCTAAGGGCTCTGGGGTAGAGTTACTAGCTCTGCAGGGGATGGAGAACTGCTAGGGGCTTCAGAGAGAAGGGCACATCTGAGTTGGATTCTGAAGGGTGACTTAAGAGCTCACCAGGCACTGGAGGGAAATGAGATTTCAGGGCCAGAGATGCTGAGGGAGTAAAGTGGTGCAGATGTTTAGAAAGTCGTTCTGTCACACTACGGTGGGGTCAATTTGGGGTGCTGGCCCCAAAGCTGTGGTGTAGGTCAGGGGTGGAGTAGGTATGCTTCTGCCTACAGACCAACAGCAGGGCCTGGTGTAGGGTATCAGGTTCCCCAAGTGTTGGGCTCCTGGAGGTGAAGTGGGGTCTGATGGCCAGCCCACGCTCCTCCTCCAAGTGTTGAAGGTATGCCCAGAGGAAGGAGCCCTTTTGCTAATTCCCACAGAGGCCCCCAGGGTCCTAGGCTGGCTGTGGGGCGGGGACTGGAACCAGGCAGTCCACAGCTCCGTTTATGAGCAGTAAGAGCTGGGGCCAGGCTTGGTGGTACATGTCTGCAATCCCACTGGATCAGGAGGCTGAGGTAGGAGAACCTCCAAGTTTGAGCCTAGCCTGGGCAACCTAATGAGACCCTGTCTCGAAATAAAAAATAAGGGGCTGGGGATTTAGCTCAGTGACACAGTGCCTGCCTGGCAAGTGCAAGGTTGTGAGTTCGATTCCTGGTACCAGAAGAAAAACAAAACCAAAAACAAATAAATAAAAAATAAAAATAGCTGGGCTGTAACTCAGTGAGAAGGCCCTGGGTTCAATCCCCAGTACCGCAAAACAAAACAAAACATTAACCAACCACGTAAAAAAGCCAAGCTTGGCGAGGGTGGGGTGGGGCATTAAGCAGCCTGGGAGTCCAAACAGCCAGAATGAGGAGGGCTGGAGCTTCCATGTGCAAGGAGAGTAGCCCGAGCTGGGCAGGCAGTGAGGGGCAGCAGCCAGCTGGGTGTGGTGTCCTCTGGGCACACACCCCAATTCCCCAGCCCGGACACATTTCCTTCCTTTCCTGACCATAATGACTCCGGAGTGGCCAGCCAGAGGACCACAGAGAGGGCTCCCGCCCGCCCTTTCCTCTTCCTCTCTTCCCTTTCTTTCTCCCTCCTGCCTCCACCCCTCCCTGGGCCCTTGCCTTTCCTTCCTCCCCATCCCACCTGCTCCTCCCTCACTCAAAAACCCTCAATGCAGATTCTCCCTGAGCCACTGGGGTTACTTTTCTGAATGATTTTGCAAAAGCCTTGTTGCAGCAAGTCTCTGGGCCAGGAAGGTCACACACTTAGCTGTGCACAAGCACAGGCCCTGCTCCCTGAGGGTGGGTGGGGGTGGGGAGTGGGATTCTCCCCCTTGGATGTAGTACAAGAAAAAGGGCTGGCAGAGCACTCTCCGCAGAAGCCATGCATTACACCATCATTACCACTATCATTATCCAATCCATTGCTGGGCACTTGACCTGCCCAGATGATCGCAATGACTTCAGCAGGGGGCTCTCGGGGCACAGACTTCTTGCCTGGGTACAAACAGGAGAGGGGTCAGCCAGGAGTCCAGACAGATTAGACCCCAGGGCCCCGCCCAAGGGCTAGGGCTAGAGTTAGGATGGAGGGCCATTTGCCAGGACCGAGTTTTTGTCAGCTCAGGAGGCTGATGATGTATTAACAGGACTTTAATGAGCTCAGGGAGGGGAGCCACACTTCATTGCCTACCCACTGGTGCAGGATTGGTGGGGTGAAGTGCCCAGTTCCCCCCCACCAGCTAACTAAGCCCCTTAATGTGATCCACGGCGGTTTGTCCATCAGAAACAATTCAGCACTGCCAAGTTGCTTACCTTCCCCCCTCCTTTTTTTTTTTGGTATTGGGAATTGAACTCAGGCCCTTGCACTTGCCAGGCAGGCGCTAATGCCACTGAGCTATAATCCCCGGCCCCTGACCTTCCCTCTTGAAGTCCAGCAAAGGCCTTCTCCAGCAGCTGACCATGCTACTGTGGTGGTATCAAGGCCGTCCTTTAGTTTACCCTGGTAGTGCAGGAAGGTCCTTTTTCCCTGGAAGGATAACATGGGCAGAACTGAGGACCTCCAGAGGTCCCCACAGCAATGCCAGGCTTGGAGTCCTGGCACTAACCCTGCCGGCTGAGGTTTCTCAGCTTTTGTGGACATTGGCCTCTCAACTCTTGTCTCTGGCCCTTGGGCCAGGGGTAGAAAGACAGTGGATTCTAGATCCATTTTTGCTGTGTGACCTCAAGCACGTTACAGCTCTCTGGGCTTTAGATCCCCGGAAATATATTCAAGGAGTTCTTTACTGTTTTGCTGCCATGGGACTGTCCCTTCTGTGTGTTGTGTGGTAGGGTGTTTTGTGACTCTCTTCACCCTCGCTTTCTGATTCTGAAGCCAAAGGCTCCCCCAGCATGCCGAACACTCTGTGCCAGGGTGCGGTCCTACGGGTGTGGAGAGAAGAGAGAATTCTGAGCGTGGAAGACTTGACCTTGGTGAGTTCCAGAACCTTCTTGGGCGCTGGACTTGCTTCCATATGTGGGCTGTGGAAAAACAGGAGCTCTTGAGGGTCCTGCCCTTTTCTTTCCCTAAGTGGCACCTACAGGGTGCGCTGGGCCTGTCAGACCATTAGGAAAGGACTGGGTAGTATGGACAGTTCAGCAGAACCAGAAGACAGAGCCTGTTCTGCCAGCTGGCCGGCGCCCAAAAGGAAAAATAAAAAACACCTCAGAAGAAAGGACCCTTAGGCACTGCCCATGGGTGGGAACGCTGATGGTGGGTCCCCCGGATGCCGTCTCCTGCAGAAACTCACCCGCACCTTCCTTCCTAAGCACAGTCCTCCTCCTGATGCTTCCTGTTCCGGGCCTTTGGTACCACTGAAGTGAGTAGTGTGGTTGGCATGATTCCGTCTACCCTTCACCTGGCAGCTCCACCAGGGCAAAGCTCTGCCTTCGGACTTCTTCAGTGTCCAGAGAGCCTATCCCATAGGGTGGCACAAAGCAGGCGCTGCGGACGCTCAAGGGATATCTGCTCAATGAATGCAATAACCAATGACTATCGACGGGCCCCCATAGGCCCACTAGAGGCCCCATGCAGCCTCCACCGTTGGCCTCCCAGGGAAGTCCTCCACCAAGTACCCCCTCTTCGTAAGTTACTTACACGCACTGTACCCTGCCTACACCCAAGGCACGGTGCAGGACCACGGGCGGGCCTGGCTCTGGCCCTGCCCCGCATCCGGGCGGCAGAGTCCAGACCGGCGTGCAGTCCATGCTCGGCTCACCTGGGCTTGGAGAGTAAGCGTGAGTCAGCAGAGCCTTGGCTGAGCGACCAAGGCAGTCCTGGGAGAGGAGGTCTGAGCGGCCAGTGGACTGGGCGGGCCGGGCGGGGGTCGGCTGCCCTCCCCTTTGCCCTTCGACCCGGCAAGGCGCTCACACCCCGGGGATGCGCTCTGCCCAGGCCCGGCCTCCCGCCTCCCCGGCGCGGACCCAGGCCTCCAGCCCGCCCGCTGCCACCCCCACCCCAATTTCCCGCTCCGACGGCTCTGGAGGCGGGGCGGGCGGCCCGAGAGTGGCGCAAGGACGCTCTCTACACCGAGGGTCATTTGCTCCTTTTCCCCTCAGTGGCTAATTTATTTTGGAGCTCGCAGAGGGCGAGGGGCGGGGCCGGCGAGCCGAGGAG